GCTAATTCTTTACTACAAGTTGGGTTCTGTATTTATTCACTTCTAATAATATATTTTATATTAATGCAATCTTCTTTATTCCATTGATGTAGGCCCTACACTGAAAAAGGAAAAAAAAAACATACTGTATACGAGTTTGACAGAAAATAAAAATAAACGATCAATCTAACAATATATAACAATTCAAATTCTCATTTTCATTTTATGTAGAATAGGTTTATTACTGTTCACGTGGCAGTATATAACGGCCTATCTTGATTGATGATATGAAACACAGACATGAAGGTCATGGTTGAATGCGTTTCTGCTGACACGTCAATGCGTTACAGATCCACAATTAACGCATTACATTACCGAGACACGACGGGAAAAACCAACAAATCATTTTTAACGGAATTCGGATAATTACCGTACTAAAATTTGGTTTCTATTGATTGATAAGTAGTTTTCTACTCTCGTGTGGTAATATTTTTATCATTTTTGCACGTGTGTGGTCGCGAGTGGTCGCGAGTGGTTCCGTGTGGTCGCGAGTGGTTCCGTGTGGTATTTAGTAGGACCCGGGGGCTACTGAACTGTCAGTGTAGTAGGCTAGCTCTAGAAGTTGTTTGAGTCAGTCCAGCCCACCTCCTAGCTAGGCCTCTTGTCCTGGCCTACCTAGGCATAGCTAGCTAGAGGGCCTAGGCTAGGCCTATGGATAAATGCCTAGCAGCTACCCTAGGCTAGGCCTGGGTACTAGGGCTAGCCTAGGCCCATAATTAGGCCTCACTCAGGCCATAACCTAAGCATTTGTGTTGTGTAGGCCCAGCTAGCCTAGCTAAAAAAAAATCAAATCACACGTTACCAATTTCTTTAAATTAGCTGCTTGATCTTTGTGATAATCTAATTTTGAGAGAGAAGTTGGACGGTATTTATCAACCCACAAACTCATCTTTGAACCAGGAATCCAACCGAAAGAAACAAAAAAGATGTTGTAAAAAAATAATTCGCGCGTCGACCATCCGAATCTTCAATGTGATTCAAACTACAGAGGACGCTATTATTAATTAGAGTCAGAGCCATAATATAAAGAGTTGCGACATTCCGCTCCTTGGTTTACGAAAGTCACGTGGTACACACCGTCCATTTTGTTTCATAATCTTCCCGATGAACACATGTAAAGTATATGTGTTTACGTACATTGCATATTAATTTCACACACTTAATTGGGTCTACAATTATATTTTATAATTAACATCACTTAGTATGGACAGTGTATTAAAATTCATATATAATCGAATATTTGCGCGCGTGCGTGCTCGCGTAAATTACATGCTCGCGTAAATTATTGGAATGAATTAGAATTTTTTTTTTTCAATTATCGTTAATTCGTCACATTTTTAATCAACGAAGACTGAAGACCCGGCGTATTTTAATTAATGGTAATCTTTTCTTTTCTTTTAATTGTTTTTAATACTAATATATATATAAATGTATATATATATACATATATAAATATATATATATGTATATAATATATGTATATGTATATATACCGTATTGTCTCTAATAAATTTTTTTCATTTTGCAATGAGTGCCCAATCAATTAACATGGGTATCCAGTCCATAAAAAGGTTGACAAACAAGGAGTAATACTGTACTTTGTGCTACTTTCTTTGATATGAAATGAAATAAATACTACTCAAAAAAGCTTACCCTAGACGTTTGATGTTTACTGTCTTCACGATCACTAGGCCTAGGCCTATTTTGTGTTTGTCTCATGGTATTTCGTTAGCCTTGTAAAAACAGGGTAAGCTGCAAACTGACGGCAAACGACGGGCAATCGTGTATTGTTAATGTGTCGCGTGTTCGATGCTTATTTGATTCAAGGTGTCTGGTTTATGAAGTCTATACCTTAGTGAGAATGTTTCTTCAAGTTGAGGGCAGATGTTTTGCGTTCATGACAGAGCCGTAGATAGAGAGAGTTTGGCCAACTTGGCGCATGGGCGCCATGTTGTCACCAAACAGCGTGCGCGCGTATAGCTTTATAACATCTTATAAAACACTGATGCTGCATAAACTTTCTTTCATTATTCTGTTCATGAGGACAATTCAATTTCTGTCTCTTATACACATCTAGATGTGTATAAGAGACAGCAATATAGTTGGTTCGCCTTGCTACCTCCGCCACCGAGTGTAACAGAGTAGGTTTGTGAATCGTCGGCGATAATCTGTCTCTTATACACATCTAGATGTGTATAAGAGACAAGAGTTATATAGGCAATTTAACCATTAGGATGCGTACCAGTACTTAAGTACAAATAGTGTGGATGTCACTCCAAAAATGACAATTTTATTCAACGTTTCATTTTTATTTAAGCATCATCAATAATTAAAGTATTACTATCATTATTCCTGATGATGATCAAGTAAATTGATTTTTTTTTTTCAAACTGTTTTTTGGGCGGAAGTAAATAACTTACTTTGGTCCTTAGCACCCATTTAAAAAGGTACTTGCGTTCTTGAGGTTTTCTCCGATTTTTACGTATTATAATAATCTTAATTGCATTTTTATTAAATTGTTGTAAGAAGATCGGAAGTACTTAAAAGGGAACTGGGCTAAGGTCCAGGCCAGGTCTATAGCTTAGGATGACTGGCTGTTCAGCGTTTGGCTGCAAAAACCAATCTGATAGTACAAAGCTTTTCCGATTTCCGACTTATGAAAACAGAACGAAAATATGGGAAGCAAAAGTTAGGCGATTAAATTTGAAATCTTCGACCAACTCACGTCTTTGTGAGGTAGGAAGTATAGGCCTGCCTTGGCTTAAATTCTATTTTTTTTTTTTTTTCAACTATTAAATATTAAGCATTTATCGCCGTGCGAGCTATTGGCCTTCATACTGTACAAATAGCCATAATGGTGTAAGCCCATAACATATTTTGAAAATTGTTTTTACGGAAGCGTCTGAATGGATATTCGAGCCAGAGCTAGTACCTGACTTATATTATTAATAATAATATTTATAAATAATAATAATCAAATTAATAACATAAGATTTGTACAGGGCTCGTTCATATTCAAATTTAAAAAGCAACAATATATATATACCCTATCGGATTTAATTACATTTTGATATACATATTTAATTAATTTTTGCTAGTCGTCACATATCATTTATTTGCAAAAATAACAGGAGCTAATTAAGGGTCTATATGGCAGGATCGCTTAATTGAAGAATGCTTGCCATCGAGGGGGCTCTCTCGGTTTATCGGCGAGGATTAAAGAACTGCATAAAAATAGTAAATTATTACAGTATTTATAATATGAAATTGGATATAAAGTAGTGAAATCATTTTTAAAAAATCTATAAATACAGTTACATGAAATTCGACTGCTAAAAAGATTAAATGGAATTAAACTATACAGGAGGCTGCTAACTGTATTTATACAATATTATACACAGGAACGCACATCACGTTAGACACAGAACGCGCATCGCGTATGACACAAAATGGCTTCTAAATTCTCAATGTCGCAACTCTTTCTATCTATGGCTCTGTTTAGAGTCAGAGCCGTAGATAGAGAGAGTTTGGCCAACTTGGCGCATGGGCGCCATGTTGTCACCAAACAGCGTGCGCGCGTATAGCTTTATAACATTTTATAAAACACTGATGCTGCATAAACTTTTTTTCATTATTCTGTTCATGAGGCATTTCAATTATGGGATTTTAACATATTGTAAATATCATATACTGTATAATCATATTTACCTAACTTTGGAATTAATTAATCCGTGACGTGCTGTATTATTTCGAGAAGATAAAGTGAGGACGATTCTTTATTTTTTTTTCGTTACGATTATCTTTTTATTTTGAAAGTCTATCATCTAGGCCTAGCCTATACCTAGTTGTTGCTAGCAGCCTACTCTATATAGCATGAGGCTCCTAAGAGTCAACACTGCAGAGGAGAAAGGTCGGTTGTGCAGACAGAGTAGGTTTGTGAATCGTCGGCGATAATATGTTAATTTCGCCTGTAAATGAATGATAAAAATAATAATAACATGAAAGTTTTCAAATTGTATCTTGGCCTCTAGGCCTATGACTTCGTAAACTTTAATTTATGAAATAAAATATTCTGGTCATCTTCAAACCAATACAAATAGCCTAGGCCTAGGCCTATTTGTAAATTGTAATCTAAACAATAAATCAAAGTTGAAGAATTATTGCATTGAGAGAAATTTTTGTACAACATATGCCTAATCATTCATAATCAAGAAGCTAGGCTTGTAAGTAAAATAGCAGCATTCTCCACACTTCTGTTTATAATATTAATGAGTTATAATATTATCATTATTACTGTATTATTATTATTATTATTTGTTATTATTATTATTATTATTATTATTATTATTATTATTATTATTTATTACTATTCATTGTAATTTTGATTTGTAATTTGTAAAACATTTAAAAGTTTTGATTTAATATATGTATTAAAACAATCAATATATTATAATACAATTAGGCCTATATCTTTAAAATATATTTTTATCTTTAAAATCTTTAGTTGCACAAAACGATTAATTGATTTGTAAAGCACAATTGGGCATGTTTGCATAGCACAGGACTCCTTGGACAAGTTTTCGCTTTAATTGGAGGATTCAATTTTTAATTTTAATTATAATTTAAGCTACCTTTGACTGATACTTCATGTAGCTTTCTGGAAATTTAGTTATATAATTTAACAGCAAAGTGCAACATTGCATTTTTATAAATCATTGCTGCTTGAAAATCCTTCCTTTTTTTTTTATTATTATCATCGTAATTAAGCCGTAATTACCGGTAAGTGGGGCGGGCGGTACATGCCTTATAATTTACTACGTGGATAGCGAGATTTTTCGATCGCCATGCAAAGTTAAAATAAAATCCCAAATCCTCCTCCTTTTTGGAATTTAAGGAAATTAATACATTTTTGTTTCATTGTTGGATCGATTGCAGCAACCCCAACATAACGGTATTTCACATTATAATTATAGCATTAATCATCTATAATAACTGCTAACTTCCTACCCTATCGCGTTGTTTTGTTTTGGTGACAACATGGCCGGTGTAAGTCACGTGATTGAAACCGAGTTGGCCAAACTCTCTCTATCTACGGCTCTGTTTAGAGTACATACAGTACAGATTTTGTTTTTGCACTGTCTCGTCATTTCTCTCAAGCAGAGGAACAGTGAAATTACGAAATTATGTAATTTCACAGGGGTGGCGCCAGCTGGGGCACAGGGCCCCCCTACCTCGGGGAGGGCATCCCCGCCCGTCGGGGAGAAAAAGCACAATTCGTCGGGGAGAAAAAAAAATATGTATTTTCTACATAAGGCAATTAGTAGACTCTAAATTAAATAAGCCGCCTTTGAAACCCATAACTGTTAAAAATTTCGGGGGTTTCGCCCCGCCCCCTGGACCACTCAATCGAAGTTCGACCACGCCACACATGGCGGAATGGAAAACATGTCTTCTTAGAAAGTGCTAAAATCTGGAGCAACTAAAGCAATAAATTCACCTTTTTTCTAATTATTCTTGCATCTGATGTGATATTGAGTACTTTGTAATCTGTTTGCTATTTATTAAAGTAATAAGTACGTATTAATTATGCCAGAATCGGATTCAGTCCGTACCCTTAGGTCTAGGCCTGAGAAGAAAGGACATGCTGCTGCAGGCCAGCAACAGACTGGCGGTGCTGCTACGCCTGTCAGCTCTAGCTGTAAGACGAAGAGCTCCGAGTCACCGGAGCCTAGCGATCAAGCTACCAACGGACAGGCATTACTGCTTCAAAAACTAAATGACTTATCAAATGTTTAACATGAAATTTTGCATAATATTCAGAATATTAATGAAAATATCGAAATTCTGACCACTAGAGTTCACAAAGCTGAAGAAGCAATTGAAGCAAATAAGGATGGTATTGATAACCTCAAAGCAAACATACTTATGATTGAAGATAGTATTGACAGTTTAAATAATATTAATCCTGAAAAGCTCCTTGTTACTATAAAATCATTGGAAGAAAAAATTGATGATTTGGAGAATCGTTCCCGACGAAATAATCTTATTATCTATAATGTTCCCGAGTCTACTAGTACCACACCATTGGAATCTGTACTAGATATATTTAACTCTCACATGAAAATTACAGAAAACATAGAAGTCGAGCGTGCACATCGTGCATCATTTCTGAATGCAAAAACAAAATCTGCAGCTGCAAGTGCCCGGCCAATCTACTGTAAACTTTTGCGGTACCAGGATAAAATAACTATTCTGAGACAGGCCGCCAAAATGCTGAAGGAACGCCCATACCATGGCCAGAAGATATTTATTGGGGATGATGTCTCTGCAAGAGTTAGACAAGAGCGCAAAATGTTGAGAGAAACCCATCTGCAGAAGATAAAGGATCTTGAAACCGTTGAGTATGCTTTCATACCACACAGTGTGCCAGCAGTAATTAAATATAAATGTACAGATGGTACATATAAGATCTTCCGTACTGAGTAATTAAGCCTTCCATCCAGTCTCCAGAATCTAAAAAAAAAAATGTTGAACTTGCATCTGTTATAACTAAAGATAAACGTTAATCTTTCTATCAAGAAATTATATATTTTTAGTTGAATAGAAGTTGTTTATTAAATTATTATATGGATCATACTGTTAATATCTGTGCTTTTATTATGCTTTACTTGAATTTCAATTTTGTTTTGGTAGTCTGGTTTTTTTTTTATATACTTATTTATGAATTGCAACAAAACTCTAAATGAGTTGTTACATGTGCTGTAAGCCTACAAATGAAACCATAAAATGTATGAATTGTAGTAATATTTCCCACACTCAGTGTTGTAACAATGACCGTTATTGGATCTGTTTTAGTTGTACAGGTATTTTATTTCCATTCAATAACATTTTAGATGATAGTGAATTTTACCATGAAGTCAAATATTTTTTTCACAATCATAAAGTTAATTGTGATAGACTTCTGTCCCTAATCCCTTTTGATATCTCATTAAATAATACTGCCAATCCTGATTGTATGCTCTTCGAAAATAATAATGAATGTAATTTTGATCTTATTGATACCTTTAATTTAAAAACCACAAATATTTCTTCAAATTTTAGTATTTACAATATGAATTCTCGCAGTTTAGTTAAGCATTATAATGAAATAACTGACTTTATACATTGTTTAAATCATAAATTTTCTGCAATATCCTTCACTGAAACCTTTTTTAATAATAATAAAACCAATTTTTCTTTTTACAGTATTCCAGGATATTCTCTCCTACATTCTTCAAGATCTGACAGGGCGGGAGGTGGTGTTGCCATATACCTGGACCAGAGCCTTCAATTCACAATTCGTAATGATTTTTCTCATATTATTTCTTCATCTGCAGAATCTATTTTTATTGAAATCATAGCTGAGCCTAAAAATATTATTTTAGGTGTTGTTTATCGTTTACCTGATTTATCTTTAGTCACATTTAATTCAAATATATCCCTTCTTCTAGATGGAATCAATAATGAGAATAAAATAATGTACATTGCTGAAGATTTTAATATTGATTTACTTAAGTAAGTATAGCACCCATAAGCAATCTTCAGAGTTTCTTAATAATATGTTTAAATTTAACTTTTATCCTCTTACCCATAGACCCACTCGAATTACAACCAAAACTGCTACGCAATATTTTGTATTTTGATGTTTAATATACAGCTGTGATGGTTCTTTTATGATAATCAAAAAATCGAGTACAAATAAGGATGATGTAAAGTCACAGACAGACATGACGAGGATTGCAGTGAGGATTAGCAATAAGTGACGATATATTGACTGTGAGCATTGCAATGTTGGATTATTGGATCATCATAAAAGAACCATATATTCACCTATTACTGAATCCAACGAATTTATTCAATATTAAGTATTATTACACAGATTTCACACTAAATTTGACTATGGTAGTCACACAAAAAGGAAATAGTCCGATTCCTAAATACAATCTTCACGGTGATGAATGATTCTCTTGCGCTACATAGGCCTCACTATAATGTTTACAGTCAATTGCCGGATCCAGGAATTTAAAATATAGGGCTTAAGGAGGGACTTCCACAAATGGAAGGTCTACACAGCCTCAGCCTCACCATGGTTGGGGCTGAGGTAAAAATATTTACCCAAGTAATGGCCCCAAAATGCCTCTCAAAAATCTTCACATTTTAGTGTGAATGGAAATGTAATACAAATTGGCCTTAATCTCATCAATCATTCAAGAATTATTCAAAAAGCATCTTCCTTGCTTACTTCGTTACATTTTAGACACCAATGCATATGGTGTTTGTTATTGTAATTAACAACACTATTCAAGATGTTTGTACCATCGAAGCTCATAAGTTAATTTGGTCTGTTATTAAAAAAAAAAAGGATATATACAAACTTGTTTGCTTTATGTATTTATTTATTTTATAAACAATTATGCATATAGAAGTCTTAAAATCTGTCAAACCTGTCTCTTATACACATCTAGATGTGTATAAGAGACAGCAATAGCCCTGGGCCCAGTGCTTTGCACTGGCTGCACTGCCTTTAGCTACGCCACCGTGTATGTATATATTGATAGTACGTTAGTTATGTATAATTACCTTACCCTACATTAGTAACAGTAGTAAACTTTCTTAAAATGTAAACAAAATCAAACAAATTATGAGGCCAAAAAAGTGTTGTGTTGCCATTACAAATTGACATTTCAGAATCAAGGTCTGTTTGTCAGTATTTATTTTTACTATTGGCATAGGCCTAATTCTAGGGTTCATTGTCAACATCACTCACCCTATACAATTTGGTTGGTAAATTAGTAACCACAGGCCTAAAATAAATGATTTAGATATCAAAATTATTAATTAAAGCCATTCAATCATCACACAAGTAATTTGGGTTCATCCTAGTTAAAAAGTAACCCTAAACATTCAAAATTTTTGGTCTGATGGGCAACACAATTTTTTTTGGACCTAATAAGGCCACTGTATTCAAAACATTTATTCATCTGGAATATTCAGTCTCGGCTTCCACAGAGATCATGGTTGCCATCATTGACGTTCTTGGTCAGTTCAAATACAGCATACATCAGTTGTTCTACATCTGAATAAATTAAATTTAAAAGATGGTAACAGAAAACAACTATGCTGTAATAAAACTATTTAGAGTAATACTGTAGAAATATTGTGCTTAAGAGCTGTTGGAAGCTTGAAGTTATTTCACACTAGACATGCAATAGAATCAAGGCCTTCATGAGTTACCACATTCAATTTTCAATGTGATCCACTTAAAATTAGATGTGTACAGTACAAACACAATTGCTCTGTTGTCATTGTTGTCATAGCTATTGATCTAACAGAATCATATAGCAATGTTATGTAAAGTAATAAACATTGAATTTGCAATTATTATATATGGTATTAAATTGGTGCTGATCGGAAGTAACAATCTGATTTTAGAATGTTATTTATATATTTTTCAGCCTCAACATCCAACAGAGCCAACTCGACCGGATAGTTCAGCCTTGTTTGGCTAGCACGAGCAGACTCGAGCAGATCGACTATGGGCAGAGTCAGGAGTGAGTCAAATTTTGGCCGGCAAACTGGAAGCAGTCCGGCTGGTGTGCAAAATTGCTTTATTAATGGGCTTGCCACATGAGGCCTATGATGAAGAAGTCTGGCCGGTGTGCAGCCAAATGCCATTATTTTTTAAGGATATATCACAACAGGGCGAGGTTTTGTAATCTTGTTTTATTAATGTCATCATTACACTACCACTTACTTACCTCTAAATCGCTGGACAGCAAATATATGGATATATGAAAGAAAAAAAAAAAAAATATCAGATTTTTTATATCAATATAATTGTAATCTTTGCCAATGAAGTTATTTATAAAAGATATTTGCTAATTGATTATGGAGCATACTACTACTTTTCAACTACTACTACTGTATTATTACTATTACTACTACTAGATTAAGTAGTATTTACTGTACTGCATGCCTCAGTAATATTTTACATGCAATTTGTAAATGACTTGATAAAAATCAAGTCTTTTTTTAGCGGGTAGTTAAGTATTAGGTTAATAACTTCAAAATTAAAAATAGTTTCTATGTTCTCCCTAATATGACAAAGTAACTAAAACAGCAATATTTTGTATTTTGATGTTTAATATACAGCTGTGATGGTTCTTTTATGATAATCAAAAAATCGAGTACAAATAAGGATGATGTAAAGTCACAGACAGACATGACGAGGATTGCAGTGAGGATTAGCAATAAGTGACGATATATTGACTGTGAGCATTGCAATGTTGGATTATTGGATCATCATAAAAGAACCATATATTCACCTATTACTGAATCCAACGAATTTATTAAATATTAAGTATTATTACACAGATTTCACACTAAATATGACTATCGTGGCCACCCATACAAAAAGGAAATAGTCCGATTCCTAAATACTATCTTCACGGTGATGAATGATTCTCTTGCGCTACATAGGCCTCACTATTATGTTTACAGTCAATTGCCGGATCCAGGAATTTAAAATATAGGGCTTAAGGAGGGACTTCCACATATAGAAGTCTTAAAATCTGTCAAACTTACCAACAACAATTGTACCCACTACAATAAGACATGCTCCAATTGTTCCACAAATAATAAAACCTGTAAAAATAAATAAAATACCAAAAACATGATTGAATTGTGCTAAGGTTTACAATATTTCATTTCATTTCATTTCATTTATTTATTTGACCAATACACATTTACAAAAGGTACAGTACAACAAAAATTTTGGTCAGGGGCAGCTTAAGCAAAATTTTACTATAACTCATTGAGAGTCAGCTGCCTCATTAATAAATATAAACATAAAAAACTTTTAACTACAATACAATAAATAGCATAAATACGCCTATCATGGTTTCAAGGAAATAGGTTGATGGTTTTTACTCAAGAGAAACTAGTGTCAGTATACAATAGTAAGAGTAAGAAATACAAGCAATATTTTGTCAATTATAATTATCATGGTTAATGCCATGATTTTTATTCGGGATAAATTAATAATAATAATAATAATAATAATGTTATGTTTATATAGCGCATACTGCACATTGTCTCTATGCGCTTTACACATAAATAATACAGGTCAACATAGAAAATACAAACAACAAAAATAATAATAAAATAAAATAAAATGTAATCATTTTAACAATAACAACAATGAGGCTAAACTACTCCAATTCCATAAACTAATTAATGGTTAGCTGTTGACTGCGAGGAGCTCATATGCCCTTTGTTATATTATAGATATTAACTAATGGTTACTATTACTATTAGCTCTAATGTATCTATGAAATTGTTTCTGATGCTGTTATTACTATTATAATAATACTGTTTAATTAGTAAAAGAAATTAAATTGTGATTAGTGAAAGAAAAATTACAAAGGCATGTAGTACACCAAAGGAAATCAAAATAACCAAAATTTACACATTAAAATAGGAATATTAAAACAAAATTTGTTGACAAACATACTGCCAATAAAAGTATTAAATTACATATAGACCGTGGATTGAGGCTCGAAAATGTTCAATACATCGAATTAGTCACCAAACCAAAGCTGTTACAGTGAGTGCAACATCAAAACAAATACCTAGGTGGCAGTTTTTTCACACAATAATAAGCC